AATTTTAAAAACTAATTAAAATTTTAAATTGATATTTTAATTTATAAATATAAATTAAGATTTTTTAAAAAAAATCAAAATTAACATATATTAATCTCTTAAAACATTTCACATAATATTAATATTAAAAATAAAAATTATTTTTTAATTTTTTATATAAATTAATAATAAATATATATAATAAATACTTTTTAATGGATATGTCTTTAAAAAAAATTTATATTTTATTTAATAAAGTAATATTTTGCATTTATGAAGCCTCGAGTAGAAAGCGGATGACATCGAACGGAGCCTTGCGATCTCTCGCTATTTCGCAAGTTTTCCGACAACTTCAGCCGAGACATATACTCTCTTCTTTTATTGATCTTCTCCATTAGATTTTGGCGTTCGCTGTACCGCAACTGGATTCGGAGACTCTTAGCGACAGCTTGCTAGGGCTCATGGCGAAGTCAGGACAACCGGATTTCTTCGCAGGAAGTGAAGGGGGGATGAATTCCCAGCCATATCTTAATTCTCCGTACCCTTTAACAAGCAGTAAGTCTTTCATTACTATTATAATTTCTTCAAGCTGTTAAAGCGATCGAAAGCGGCAAAAACGTCCGACACGATAATCACCTCACAGTTCCGTGGGTTTGTTTCGGTATAGAGAAAACAAATTAATTAGAAAATTATATTTATTCATCATTTGTGTTTGGGTGGAAGTAATTGAAATGATGAATGATTTTATTGTTATGGTCTTTCCTGATATTGTTTAGGTAAAGGAATTATTTTCGGGGTTTTTTTTTTTTTATGCATTTTTTCATGCCTGAAGCTATTGATTGAACACTAAGAAGAAAATAAAAGATTTGAACAATTTACAAGGTAAGAATTAGCTCAATTGAGTGAGAAATCTAATTTTATAACATGATTTGATCATATGTACTGTGAATTTCTCAACTTTTTGCAGGTGATCCATTATTGGAAATGGCCTTTCCTAGTCTCAGTGAGTCAGAATTACGTGAAGTGCTACTACAGGGTCCAATCATTATGGGAACGCAATGTAACAGCCAACAATATGGTCAACCAGCTGGACCGAGTAGTGGAGTGATGCATGATCAACATCTAACCAATATCAATGCTTCAAGAACTGATACCCCAGAAATGGCTCCAGCGAAGATTGTAAATCTGAAGAAAAGAGAAGCTGACAGAGCATACAGACAAAGACAGAGGGTAACACTGTGTATCTCCTTTCTAATGATATTTCTCATTTTCTTATATATGTTGAGTTATCTCACGGGTGGTGTAGTAAATGAAGCTCACGTCTCAAAAATAAAGTGAAATTAAGCAAGTGGTTTATATATGTGGAGATCTATGAATCAAACAGGTTAGTATTTTGGTTTCAATATGATTTCTTCACATATTACGCCCTTGCTCGTGCTGATGGTGATCAGTCCTTCATACTATGATTGAGCTGTGAATCCCATGAGTTCAGCCCTCAGCTCATGGAAGAGTATGCATTAGACCATTGAGTTAATCATATTGTTACACTCCTATATAACAAATAGCCTATTGGGGGGGTGGGGGAATTATTGAGTTGACATGAGTGGTTGAGTTGTGAATAAATCCCACATTAATAAAATAGTGAGCTTCATAGACTAATATTTTGAGTTTAAGGTACATTCTTAGACTCATATGCCTTGGGTTTATTTGAACTCCTGCCACAATTTAATATTTTGCCTGTGTTTTTGGTTCTATGCTTTTTACCATATTTTGTATTTCTACCCATCTTTTCAGGTAGGAAGACTACTAATGCAAAACAACTTAGACAGGCTTTCTGATGAGAATGAAAGCTTGAAACGTGACAATGCTTTGATGAATGAAACTTTGCAATTTCAAGAAAAAATTATAGACCAGCTGAAAAGGGATCTTACCAAATTGAAGTCCAACAATGAGATGCAAAGTGCCACTGGGCAACATCTGGCAGAGCTATTAGTAAGTCTCTCTGGGGCACCTTTTTTTTTCTTTAATTTTTTTTATTAATACTTTTTTTGGTTATATACAATTGCATTTAAACATAAAGCATTTGTGTATTGATAATTAATGCTTGTTTATATGATTATTTATATCAGGAGCACTTCTTCTCCAAAAAAAAAAAAAAAAAGGAACACTATGGTATAAACTGACTGCAGTACTTTTATAGAAGTTGCTTAACCAGGACATCTAGATGATGTCAAAATATATAATAACCCTGAACGTTTGAAGTGTATGTTCAGTGTTCCTTTACAGTATTGCATCAATAGGGAAAGTATAAGTGTGTTTGGTTGT